AAACATAGTTTTAAAAGTTAGCTTAATTTGAAGTCTAAAACATGATAAGGACTCTGTTAAAAACTGGTCTATTAGCATTTCATTTAGTAAGACTGCCTAGGTTGAAAACAACTTTCAATGGTACAAATTTAAAATATGTAGTGTTCTTCTGGTATCAGATTTTTTATTCCATGTATTCTAAGTTTGTGTACATAACTTTAAAAAAATTATTGTGTCATGCTGTCACAATGAATCAGAACCTAAGGTACAGGGAAGGAACAATGTATTTGGATTTCACAGATAATCCAACCAACTATTAGCTCAAAGAAGTCACTTAACCTTTGTAAAATGAGGTTAAACATTCTTACTCATATGCCTTCACATAAAGTAAAAGGTGTTAAGTAAAAACAAAAGAACAGAAACAAAACCCTATGTAAATGTAAGACATTTTTATAACTTGTCAGTTATTTTTACTGATAAAGATCTTACTTTGTATGTATTTAGTAATATACAGACCTATTTGTCCAATGTGCTAAACATGCTCTGATTATAAAGATCCAAAAATATAGGTATTTTCCAGCTATCTAACTCATTTTCCTACCCTCCACTACAAAGAGCATTTAGCAAAATAAGTGTCTCAGTATAATTCCAAAATTACTTCTCTCCAAAAAAAAGTAGTGAATTTCCCCCAACTTCTTATCTTGAAAACATTCATATCTACACAAGAGTTGGGAGAGTAATACAATGATATCTATTTGCCCTTCATCTAGATCTCCCAATTGTTAGCATTTAAGTAAAATGTTTTATGTGTACTGTCTACATGACATGTCTGCTTTTATGCCTGTTTAAGAGTCCAGATCTTAAGGACAGGTACTGTGTGTGTTTTATCACAGCAAAGTCAGGCCAAGGTACCTAATTTTAAAAGCTTTCTGATGAAATATATATTTAAGTCATACTTAAAGAATTCTTTTTTGCAGATGCCAAAAGAAATACATGTATTTCAGGATTTACTGAACAGTACTTTTTAATATTATGTAAAATTTTCAAGTAAAGATTTTCAGATTTCTAGAGGATACTGTTTTATATAATGTATTTTCTGTGAAGTGACCAATCAAGGTAAGCCTAATTTTACTGTGCTATTTTATAAGTGGGCAACATAAAGAGAATAGAATCTTTGCCTTAAGCTATTATTTTATCTTCTTTATTCAGTTACCTTTAGCTTCTCCACATATTTGCTCTTTCTCAGAGATTAGACTGATAAGATTAAAGTGAGACATAGGTTAACCAACCCTCCAGGTTTGTTCAGGATTTTCCTGGTTTTAGCACTAAAGTCCTATGTCCCAGAAAACTCCTTAGTCACAGGTAAACTAGGACAGATGGTCACCCTATGTATAAATATGGCCTTTGTGAGGCCAGGAAGAGTTGTGCCAGCCAGGCTCCAGCTATGTCCTATTAGAAAGTCCAGTCTCTTTAGTAAACTACCTAGCATAAAATGGATTCAAATGCTTATGTTACTCTGTGTGGCAGGGAGATGAACTGTGAATCAGTATAGTGCAGTAAGGAGTTTAAAATATGGCTTTTTTCAAATAATTTAACAGATCTGGACTGATAACTTGGCACCATCATTTCTTAGCTATGTGACTTTAATTAACCTGTTTTACCTCTTTCAACCTCTGTTTTCTCATAAGTTTAAAAAAAAAAAGATTAACAACACCTATCTCACAGAGTTGCTATAAAGATTACTTGAGAAAATATAAGCTAAGGACCTGCACAAAGCATTAAATAAAAGTTATCATTCTATGAAGAATGTGTCCTTAAGAGAGAGTCACCAAATCTGCTTCATTTGAGTTTAGTTCACCAAACATTTATTGAATGCCAGGCAGTTTTCCAGCTGCTTAGAATATAAATATGAATAAAAGATGGCCACTGCTTTCACAAGCTCAGGCTTGTTGTAGAGAATTAATTCCACTACCGGGGTTACAGAGGCAGGACTTTTCTTACCAGTGGCTTAGTTGTTCCTTAGTTTTGGCTCACTGCCACGTCATCATAAATAAATATATTTAGTCTAAAGCTGCTTAAAATCATCACAGCAAAAAGGCATAGTTCACTTTAGATCACTATTTTAAAAAATGTGTGCCATTGTATAAAATAAGAAAGCTATCACAACAGTGTAAATTGCTAAAGGAGTTGGAAACATTTACAACTGAAAATGAGTAAAAACATTTGTGACCTTTATAAAATGATTTAAGAAAGACTGTGTGTTGTTTTTATGCTACACAAAAGTAGTTAGAAAGTTGCAACTAAGGATTGAAATTACCACAGCAGTAACTTGTACTGAATACCTGAAGAGCTACAGGATTAATAAAAATTCTCTTTAGCAAAACAGAACTCTTAGACTAAATTTGTCCAAGATCACAGTAGACAGCTAATAACTCTAATGCCTAATATTCATATAGGGCTTTATGGTCAGCAAAGCACTTTCAAACACAGATCATTTGATCCTCACAACTACTGTTAGAAATATAAACAGGGTAAAGATCACATTGAAGAAACCAAGGGTCAGAGAGGTTAAGTGAACTGCCTAATAGTACAGAGATCCAGAGCTAGAACTAAGGCCTTCTGACTCCATGACTGCATTTTGAATAAATGCACTGCTAACTACAATGCAGTCTTACTAATCTGTACCTTAGTGAGAAAGACATGAAAGTATGATGTCTCATTTGCTGGTGCATGAGGAGTTGAAGGAAATATTTTTGTTTTTTATATATATATATATATATATATAAAGTAACATAACTCTGGAAAAAATGGAAAATGCAGAAGACAGAGTAACCTAGGGAGCATAATTAGGGATTATTATAGGGAATGGAATATATTAGATCTATAATTACTAATTCCTTTGGAGAAACATGACATGTTTATGCTATTTAGACTTCCCATTTAGGAAAGGTTTCTCTATTGACTCAAGCCTTCCTGTATCTCTTAGCAAATACACACAAGTCTCTTCCCAGGATTTCTTGATATGTTTTTAAAGTAAAATAATGAAGTTGCTATATTTAAAAAAAAATTAGGCCAAGACTAATTAGTCTTCAAAACTAAGGATAGAGTCACAGAGAGAAATAGGTTCTGCAATTAGCACTGCAGCCCTCAACCAAAGCTCACTGTTCATACAGGTAATGATGCTTCCTCCTTGGTTTCTTCAGGCATACCCTCATATACACATACCCAGTAATCATTATTCATATCTTACACACAAACCTCAAAGGCAACAGTAGCAGTTTAATGTTCCTACTCTGCTATTTCTGGAGAGGAATACTTTTCCTTCCCAAGGATTACTAACTCCAAGGGAGAAAATAAATTAGTGTATATATAAAAGAAAACCTACTTTTATTTGTTGTACATCTATTTTAAGAGTACAGGAGTAGAAACTTTTAGAAATATTTAAATAGGAAAAACAAAACTTTCTTCTATAAATAAGAAACAAGAGTTCCATATTATAAGTAATGAACTGAGGTAGGAGGAAAAAGAAATGAAAAGGAGATAATGGAGAAAATTTTAAATTCTTGGTATTAGTGGTCTGGGTCTCCTCATATCCACCCCCACTGCCAAAATCCTTCCTCTAAGAGAGGTCTAGATTAGCACATTGTGTAAGACCTAATCCCTACCATCTGGCAAAACCTTTTATGTCCTCCTTAACACCACATATGTGCTTTCAGTCCTCTCAGAGTTAAAAGGGTTTATCTATCTATCTATCTATCTATCTATCTATCTGTCGGCTGTGTTGGGTCTTCGTTGCTGTGCGTGGGCTTTCTCCAGTTGCAGCTGAGCCCGTGCACTGCAACTACTGAAGCCTGTGCGCCTAGAGCACCTGCTGCGCAACAAGAGAAGCCACTCCAATGAGAAGCCCCCTTATGCCTCATTCACACAGAATCTTCCTCCCTTTCAGAGTTTATCACTAACTTGAATATGCATCTGCTTTTTTGTTTTGTTTTTGTTTTTTTTTTGGCTGTGCCACACAGCTTGCAGGATCTCAGTTCCCTGACCAGGGATCAAACCCAGGCCCCCTGCACTAGAAGTGAGAAGTCCTAACTACTGGACCACCAGGGAATTCCCTATGCATCTGCTTTTTACAGTTTTTTTTTCCTTCAAATTATTTTTGTATTTTTACTGCCTGCTTTTAGAAACTCTACCAAAATAGAAGTTTGTTAACTTAACTCTACCAAAATAGAAGTTTGTTAATCTGTTTTAGACTAGGACACTGAGAAGGTTAGGACTGTGCTTTTACGTAAATGTGACAAGTTCCAAGAGAAGGCCTAAAGCGTTCTCTTTTGAGTAAAGTCTATGAATATTACTGCACCTTCACTGAGACATCAATTTTGCCTGTTAAAAGGCTTTTTGAATTTAATTCCTGCTACTTAAGATTGTTCCATTGGTTGGGAATGCCAAAAAGTAACTTTGTAAAAGTCAGGTGTTATACGTAGCTGAGGGATTCACAGACTTAAAAGATCGTGAAGTGACATTAATGGTCATCAAATCCAACCCCTTCACTCCCTCTGGGAAAAATGAAGCCCAAAAAGTTTGAATGACTTGCCTTAAGTCACAGAGCTAGTTAACAGGAGAGCCAAAGTTAGTATTCAAGTCACTTAGACCAGTAGTTTTCAACTGGGGACCCCTCAGAGGATATTTGGCAATTACTGGAGACAGTTTTGTTTGTCACTTTGGAAGGTGCTACAGATGCCAGGGATGCTGTTAAACACCTTCCAATGTATAGGACAGCTCACCACAAAGAATTGTCTAGTTCAAAATATCAACAGTGCTGAGGCTGAGAAACCCTGACTTAGGACTACACTTTGTCACATCTATGTAATCAACTTTTACTTAATATAAGCATTCTGAGAAAAATTGTGTCAGACTAGGATATTTCCCTTTGGTCAAACAAAGAGTCAGGTAAATTTAAAGGTTCAGTTTATTTGATTCTCTGTGAGATGGAATATAATAATAAAAGAATACAACATACTCACCAGGAGCCAAAACCCATGGGTCTTCTATCATAATCTGGCAGATCTGGAGCAATCTTACAAGCCTGTATGTTCAGGTATTTAAATATGTGGATTTTGCCTTTTATACATATCTAAACAAAGTAACATATAAATACAACCAAATTATTACTCATCTGAAATATATGTGTCCCCTAGCATTTTAAAATAAAAACACATTTTTACTTAATGTATATTGGAAATAGAAGGCATTTCTATCAAGTATATACAGTAATATTAAAAAATGTACTGATTGTAACATTATATCATTTGTTACTTTAGGCGTTTAAGTGATATAAATGTAGGTTTTTGTTTTCTAGTCACTAATAAGTTTCAGTAACATATAAAATAAATAATTTATGATTATAAACACTGTTAGAATACCAAGTAAACTTATATTGATTGGTTAGGCATAGTCAAGGATTTAAAGCATTGCTCCCCATGGATTATATTGGTAACTTTTGTTTTTAGGAATCCAACAATCATGCACAATTACGTTTTCAATCTTACTTCCTGTAAGAGAGAAAAGCAGGAAATGATTTAAAAAGTTATATATACTTCTGTTGCTACCTACTGACTTCCGTCCCACAGTCAACACACAAATTCTTTAGGATTATGAGGCCTTTCTATAGTTATGAAGTTTACTCATAAAGTTTAACAGTTGCCATACAGAGGCTTGTACAAGACCATCAATTAATTGCAGAGTAAGGAAAGCTACAGTGAAAAATATAAGCTGGTCAACACTTTTTAGACTACAGAATGTCTAGAATCTATTTGTAAAGCTACCTTATAATAACTTTATTAAGTAGTTTCATTTCAGTCACTGATAAACAAATGACCAAACTGACTAAACTAGGAACTTAAGATTTAGAAAATAGGAAAGTACAAAAACAATGGTCATGAGAGATACATTGATGATCTTTAGTTCTGTAAGCTGAGTATTTTGTCTTTAGCATTTACATTGTCTACATTTAAGTTTTACTAGAAAGAAATAACTCAAATTTTATTAGAAAAAAACTTTAAGTCTCCTTCAAATTAAAAAGAAGTCAATTTAGTGAAAGGAAAAACATTTTTGGAATATTACCTATCTTCCATCCCATTTATTCAAGGCTTCTAAAGAATACATATAAGTTGTGAATTTATTTTAAAAGAACTTAATTTCTAAAAAAAAAGATAAATACATATAACTTATAACTTTTAAACTTCATCTTTTGTCAAAAAAGTTCATAACATACTTCAAGTCAACTATGGTTTACCTGTGCAGGAGGAGATTGTAGAGGATTATTATCTAGGGTGATCATCTGTAGGTGCCTGAGATTCCGATAACAAACAGGGATTGTTGTAATTTTATTGCAGGAAAAGTCTAACCGTATCAAAGGCAACTCTGCTAGCTCTGCAGGGAGATAAGGTGGAAATAAACAGTTAATGATAATTTCAAAACTAGACAACTTTTTTCAGGAGCTTCTAGCTAAATATAATGGATTTAACATAAGTATTCACTTCCATTCTTTCTTAGTGATTAACTGATATACAGCAAAGTGGCATAAAATGAAATCTAGTTGCTTAGGGATGGTAATATTAATGAAAAGCAAACTATTTGACTCCTTATAGAACAACAGAAAGTCTTAGAAACTAGGTCTGATACCACAGAAAGGTGTGAATAACACAAGGATTACATGATAATCTGTATAAAGAACAGGTTAGATGCCTAGATCTTCAATCCCAACTCATGCAGCTAGGTAACTACTCCTTTCCAATCATGACAGGAGCTGAATTGAAAAGCTCTGAACTCAAGGACCGCAGGCACAATGGAAAGTCAGGAGGAGTTCCCTGCTGAAAATGGAGGATTTAAGTAAAAGTCTACAAACTTGACCACAAGACCTTAGCACTTTCCTCCCCAACCTTACCCCATCCCCAGCTCCTGACTGGCAGTAGTTAGGAACATACACAACACTGTAGAAGAAGGAAAACATCTTTCTCTGGAGAAACTATATTGTTCCATATAAAAGGCCTTTAGATATTGATAGGGAGTTTCCCCCAATAAAATATCCAGCTTACTGCTTAACTACTATTATACAATTCCTGCTCAGTATACTTGGAATTTCTAATTAGCTCTATACAGACAGTACATGATCCACAGACAATTAGAAGAGCCTCCAACCTGTAAGACAGAAATCAAAACACGCAAGCCAATCGAAAAAAAGAGCTCTGAAAAAATAGGTAATATATAGAAAATAAAAGAAAACTTTTAAAAACTAGAATTGGGCTTCCCTGGTGGCACAGTGGTTGAGAGTCTGCCTGCCGATGCAGGAGACACGGGTTCGTGCCCCGGTCCGGGAAGATCCCACATGCTGCGGAGTGGCTGGGCCCGTGAGCCATGGCCGCTGAGCCTGCGCATCTGGAGCCTGTGCTCCGCAACGGGAGAGGCCACAACAGTGAGAGGCCCGCATACCGCAAAAAAAAACAAAAAACAAAAAACTAGAATTAATGTCTCTAATTTCAGAGAGATAAAATACTAAATTACTGAAACAAGAAAGGAATGTTTTTTTAAAAAATCAGAGAAAGGGCTTCCCTGGTGGCGCAGTGGTTGAGAGTCCGCCTGGCGATGCAGGGGACATGGGTTCGTGCCCGGGTCCGGGAAGATCCCACATGCCGCGGAGCAGCTGTGCCCGTGAGCCATGGCCGCTGAGCCTGCGCGTCCGGAGCCTGTTGCTCCGCAGCGGGAGAGGCCACAACAGTGAGAGGCCCGCGTTCCGCAAATAAATAAATAAATAAATAAAAATAAAAAATCTGAGAAAAACAAGGGTTCTTAGAGATGAAAAATACGATGGCAGAAATTAAAAATTCAGAAGAATGGTTAGAGTATAAACGGTTGGAACTGTTTACCACCTGGTTAAACAAAATGAAAAAATGGACAATAAAAAAGATAAGAAAACCATAGGATCAATTAAAGGAGTCCAATATCTAATTCACAAAAATTCTAGAAAGAGAAAACAGAGAAATCGGAAGATAGGAAATTATCAAAAAAGAGATATAAGACAATTTCTTATATCTTATATCAAAGGATGTAAATCGAAGGATGTGAATCTCTGGTTTAGAACGAAGGATGTGAATCTCTGGTTTAGATAGAAGGATCTATCTAAACGAAGGATGTGAATCTCTGGTTTAGATAGAAGCCCACCAAGTATCTAGTTTATTGAATTAAAACAACTCATACTATGGCACATCATCATAAAACTTCAGAGCGGTAGGGAAAAAAAAGGGAAGACCTTAAAATATTCCAGAGGAAAAAACTGGTAACAAACAATGGACTGGAATTAGGAATGGCATCAAACTTTCCACCATTTTTTTTTTTTTTTTTGGGCCGTGCCATGCAGCATGTGGGATCTTAGTGCCCTGACCAGGGATTGAACCCATGCCTCCTGCAGTGTTAAGTCTTAACCCCTGGACTGCCAGGGAAGTCCCTCAACCATTAATTTTTAAAATTGAAAGCTAAAAGCGAAAAAAGACTTGAAAATCATTTGACACAATAATTTTCAACCGAGAATTTATAACCAAATTATTAATCAACAGTGAGCACAGAATAGAGATATTTCTTTTCAAGTGAAATCTCAAAAAATGTTTTCCTATGACATGTTCTCAGGAAATTACTAGAAGATGCCCTTTTAGCAAAACAAGGGAGTAAAGTAAGAAAGAGGAATTATTCGTCAGTTATACCTCAATAAAGCTGAAATTAAAAAAAAATAAAAGTAAGAAAGAAGACATGAAGTCCAGGAATAAGAGGAATAAGAGTTCAGCGAAGAAGAAGAAAAGCTAGGCAGAAAATAACAGAGAACAACCAGTCCAGACTGGAAGAGAAAGAAAAAAGGTTCAATGAGGGAGATATTCAGGGGAAAAAAAGAAAGATACATAATCTGATTGGTTTGACTAATAAGGCTGCTGGAAAACGAGGGAGGAATTAGCCACAGGTACATAAAAAGCTAAGTAAATTTTTTTAAAAAGGACTAACTCTAGAAAAACAACAATAAAAACAAAATGTCAAAGTTGATAAATCCAGCAATAGCTGTAAAAGCAGATCACTTAGAAATGTGTCAGCAAATAGTAGTGGAAAGAGTCAAAGGACTTGAAGGTATATGCTTCTGGCCATTGAAACTGGAGAGAGGAATGACTGAGGCAGGAGAATGCTATTATTTATTTTAAGCTTTTTATTACTATTTGACTTTTTGAATAATGTATTTGATAAAAATTAAAATTAATTTAAAATCAAAATGACAATATACCAAAAGATGTAATATCTTTATCTACCAAACTGTAATATGTTAGAGATCACCAAGGAACATGAACTTCCACACTAACTTGTGTAGGTGTTGGATGAAGCTTTCCTGTCATCTCAGTTTAACTGAGTATGCTGAGATTACAAGATAAGTCTACAAAAAAAATTTGAAACTATCTGTGTGACAATTTTCTTGGTAATATGCATTCAAAATAAGATAGAGAAATAAATTAGATGATAAAACTATCAGACTGCAATCATCATCTGAAATCCCGGATTTTCATTTTCACCAAAACCTCAATTGTTTTGATTATTCAATTTCATATTAAGTCAGTATTATTGTATTAGTAAGCCTTTAAAGATCAACCACAGTAGGTGGGTCCTGAGTAGAGGGGTAATCCTGATAGAAATTTTGAGTTATATGTCAGTCATGATTTTGGTCGGTCCTGCTAATGGCCTGCATTCCCCCTGCTAAGGTGGTAGAAGGCAGAACCAGGAGGAAATGAGGAAGGCTCTGAAGACAAAAGGTATAAAGGTTACTGGACAAGCCTACTGAGGGGAAAGATATGCAGGATTTTGGGTAGTATGGTTGCAGTAAATGTATAAAAGTGGAATGAAAATCACTTTCTGAGACGCTTACTCGGGATCAAAAAATGTCAAAGCTACACACACTAGTATATTAGAACTCAGTATCATACAGGATCAAATTGGTATAAACATCTGGATTCTACAATGCAGCAAAAGCATCATTAGTTAATTCAATATTTACTGTACATTAAAAGTCGTATTTTGTAGAAGAACCTAGATAATCACTGTCATGAAAACATCTTCTAAAGATTCCTTATCTTTGAGACAGACATTCTGAAATGTTTATAGATGAATTTTTGGAAGTTGTTTCAAGTTAATGTAGAGGACAGAGCAAGAGAAAGAGGACGGGAGTAGAGCTGAAACAAGAACTTCCATGAGCTAATGACTGATGTAGTTGGGTGATTCATTGCTCTCATTTAGATATGAAATTTTACATAATAAAATTAAAGAAATATATATTCTGATTTAATAAAATAATGATTTTCACCATTTTCACTTTCTCTTGTAGCTTTCTCTTTCATGAATTTATATTTTTGAACGATTGATCAATTATACCTAATTAATTTGTTTAATCATTTTTATCATTCAAATACATGCACCAGAACTTATAGTCAGCCTAAGACAACCAGTCTCCTAGTGCAGTCTCTCACTCCATTCATTATTCATTTTACACATCACCTCCACACAGTTAATTAGCCTCTATCTGAACATTTCCAGTGAAGGATAAAATTATTAAATTCAAATCAAGTCCATTTTAAGTCAGTCAGTGCTAACTGCAGGAATGTTTTCATTATACTAAACTATCCCCTTATCAAAAACATGTTATGTTTCTCCTAAGTAGTTATGCCAACTGAAATTTCCAGTGATCTTACCCTGAGTTATTGATTATATCAGTTAACAGGATCTAAAATTACAATCACTGTTAAATAGTTATTGGAGCTCTTCACTGAAGAGTCTAGCTTTTAAAATCCACAACGGAACAGATAGCACATATTAAAGAAACCATTACATTTCAAATACTGGCTGTAACTTTTATACATTTTTGAAGTGCCCATCAGTCTGAGAGATCTTTAAAATAAAAAGGCAAGAAACAAAACAAAACAAAAAAAACTATTTCACAATTTCTTACCTTCAGGCAAACGTACTAAGTGATTTCTTCTTACATTAAGGTCTCGCAAGGCCTCCAAATTACCAATTTGGGAAGGGATTGTTTGAATTTCATTGCAGCTCACATCCTATTTCAAAAAGACACAAAGTAAAGAATTGTACTAATATTACAAACTTGCATGCTTTAAACTATCTGTAAAATGAGGTCGGACAAGATAGTACCCCTCTTGTTGTAAAAAATACTATGATTCTGTGTCCAAGAATAATCCCATAGTTTGCAATAGCATTTAATTTTTAAAATGTATAGGCTTTTGACTGACTCTATACACTGTATATAGATCTACATTAATTTTGTGAGCAGAACTAAAATTAAATGACTTAAGATGTGGACAGGAGGCCTAGAATATCAGATCAAATGAAAATGTTGGTGAAAAGGTTAAAAAAAAAGGTATTAAAACAGATCTTTAGGACAATATTTTTATTTTATATTGTTCTAAAGAAACTAGAAGAAAAAACAAAACTATGATAAAAATTATAATGATAAAATTATTTGAAAGGAAATCCCATTCTCAAAATACAAGTTCAACTATTCAAGAATATAAAATAAAAATGCACTGAAGATGACTCAAATCATTCTTTATCAAACTGAACATGAGGGAAAAATAATAAAGTACATATAACTCAAAGGCTATGGAAAAAGTAGATACTATTCTATTAGCAGCTCATCAACCTGATTCTAATACATATATTAGGTAGGCCTTCTGGTATCTTGGCAAATAGCTTGATTCCACTGGTTCTGAAAAGAGACTGACTCCAAGGTTCCAAGATTGATAATTTCAGGATTCCATAATTCTGAGACAAGTCAGAATTTGTAAACCCATGCATAGCAACAAGAAGCTGTCTAGGTTAATAAAAGCTCTAAGATGCCACAGTAACACTTAAAATTCCTCCAATACATAAATAAAAAGAAAATACTGAGACTTGTTATTAGAAAAGACCACTTACAAAAAACTTCAATAAGCTTCAGACATTATTTTTAAATTTTCCCAAAATATTCTCAGAAAGAAATAATACTATTTTTACCTTTCCTACCCATTCATGATTGAAGTAGAATCAGAAGCTAGACTTCTTAGCCCAGTGCTCTAGGTATCAAAGCTAAAAGGGTTCTAAAAGAAGTCAAGGGATCACTGGTTAAGAATCCACCTGCCAATGCAGGGGACATGGGTTCGAGCCCTGGTCCAGGAAGATCCCACATGCCACGAAGCAACTAAGCCCGTGCACCACAACTACTGAGCCTGTGCTCTAGAGCCCGCAAGCCACAACTACTGAAGCCCGCATGCCTAGAGCCCATGCTCCACAACAAGAGACTGCACTGCAATGAAGAGTAGCCCCTGCTTGCTGCAACTAGAGAAAGCCCGTGTGCAGCAACAAAGACCCAATGCAGCCAAAAAATAAATAAAGAAGTCGAAAGGATAGGAAGATTGAGTCTGAACCAGAAGGGAATAGCAATCTATAATATCTCTCTCAGAAAATATGTATGTTGAAAGACAGCAGTTTACTTCCACTAAAAAAAAAAATGAAGGAGAAAAAAAAAGGAAAGAAGCAATAAGGATGCTGCAGAAAGACCCACGAGGGAATCAGGAGCATTACGATTATTAATTTTTACTCTGCCACAAGCTGTTTTTTATGACTGAAGTATCAACTCACTTCTTTCATAGAAAGCTAAAAGCACCTTCTGTGAGACATATCTATCTTTAAAGCATTTAGGATTCAATAACTAGAAACAGAAAGTTTAAATAGTGGTCTAGTATCTAGACTCTAAATTTAATATATTTGTGAGTTCTTATATGTGACCTTTTATATTCATAATCCACCTGAAAAAAAAAAAAGTGACCCAACATGTGGTCCAATTAGACTTTTATGTGTACAGTCAGTTGTCCCTCAGTATCTGCAAGGGATTGGCTCTGAGGATACCAAAATCCATGGATGCTCGAGTGTCATATAAAATGGTGCATAATTTGCGTATAACCTACATACATCCTCCTGTATGCTTTCAACCATTTCTAGATTACTTATAATACCTGATACAAGGTAAACACTATGTAAATAATTGTCACACACGGCAAATTCAAACTTTCCTTTTTAGAGATTTCTACAAAAAAAATTTTATTTCTTTTTTTTTGGCCATGCTGCATGGCTTGTGGGATCTTAGTTCCCCGACCAGGGATCGAACCCACGCCCTTGGCAGTGAAAGTGCAGAGTTCTAACCACTGGACCACCATGGAATTCCCAGGAAATTTTTTAAAAAAATATTTTTGATTCACCGTTGGTTGAATCCACAGATGCAGAACCTACAAAAGCAGAAGGCCAACTGTATTTATTTTTTATGATGTACATACATCTTTGTTAATAAACCTACATGGAATTATACTCCCAAATCTCAATGGACATAATTGTATTTGACCATTTCAGAAATAGGAATCATAGGTTCTGGAGTTAAGGTAGACTGGTTTCAAATTCTACTTCAGTTATGGAACCTTTGGAACCTTTGGCAAATTACTTAACCTATCTTGAGTGCTGGTTTCCTCAGCTATAATATGATGATAACAATTCATAATGTTATTGTGGTGATTAAATAAGAAAAGTCTTATTCCCATGCCCAGAACAAAAGCACTCACGAATAACAAGAAGTGGTAGGTGAAGGTTAAGCTTCTTAGAAAATATAAAGAATAGCTCACTTTAGAGTGGGAGCTAGGTTCTAAAGATAGCCTATAAGGTAAAAAAGTAAACCTGACCTTTGTACTGCCCATTCCCTATAGGCACTAACCAAAAATCAGAATATTGATGCTATTAACAAGATTTAATTAAAAAAATTCAAACCCTTTATTAAATTATGTCTCAAAAGTTTAATAACATAGAAATCACTTAATATTCATTAGAACCTGATTAGACTTTGATAAGACTTGTACTTTCAGTTCTTTCCTAATTCTGTGTTGAAGCACTTGAGAGCTCATCAATCAGTAAAACTTCATTATCAGTA